GACCATGTTGAATTAATGTTTAGTGTATTGATGCAAGACTGACACATCTAAAAATCGAACTATGTCGAAATCTTCCTTGTTCAATTTCCATCTAAACATGTGCATAACACAATTATGAAGATAGGGGAAGAAGGGTTGCCGCCACAATATCCATTGTCTTCATTAAGGATGAGTGAGTCTTGGCACATGGATTTTGTGTTAGTGGGGGAGGTTGATGTTTACACTTCAGCATCAATAGGTGGAACAACTATTTTTCCTCTTTGTTCTTTATTATTTTTCTTTTCATTCCATCATATCCCATTGAGAGGTTTTCAATTCAAACTTGCAATAAGTAAGGTCTTTGTCTTTAATCTCACTCCACCATTGTGTGTAAGATATGATTTCAAGGAAAATGGCTTATGCTTACTCTCTTTCTTTATCATTTAGAATTCTTATCTCCACGTCCCATTCCTTGACAAAAAATGAGCAAATTGTCATCTTGAAAGGATCGTTTGGTACGCTAAATTTGACAAGTTGATAAGTTCAATTACGTGACGTAATTTTTGCGTTTATTTATAGAGATAGTTTTCTATGCTAACGCCAAAATGCCATGTTGGAGCAACCTCAACCATAGCTTGACAAGTTGAGGTCCTTTAATCTTTTGTAGTATGCAAGAAACGGTATTTGGTGGGGTCCAAATTTGATAAGAAAATATGGGAAGAAAACAAAATCAAATCCCATATGAAGATAAAATAGTACATGATGCCCCCCTTCCACAAGGATAGATAGTTGGGGTACCCATCATGGCTTACATGCCCTCTTTGATTGAATTCATATTATATGCTTCCAAATCCAACCCCACCTTAGCTTAAAATTGGCATAAGTATTTATTTTGCAGAAGTGGACAAATTATGTGAGGAGACACATTTCCATCAATTTACATACCTTGAACCAAAAAGGTTGAAAAGAAAACAAAAGCACAACCATGGCATGGGCCTAGATACTTAATGCTTTACTTTGTGCCCTTGCCAACAATATGCCATTGGTTCGAGTGTCGCTTTCTTCCTAGTACATTTGTTGAGTGCGTGTTCTGCCCAAGATGATGCGTTTAAGACGATTGCATTAGATTGACTGACAACATATTTACGGAATAAATCTTTATTTATATCTCCTCCTTGATTTTTAGTAGATTTTGATAAAAAAAAAAAAATTACATAATGTATTGTTGAAAAGCTGTGGATCCCATAAAACGCATTATCAAAATTAATTGTTGACTTTCACTTGAATTTTAATATAACTTCTCTGAAATACGGTAAAAAATAAATAGGTATAAATTTACCGGGAATAAAACTTGATAGACAGAGACGCGCACCGTATTTTCTATGTAAATGTTGATAGTTTTCTAGACAATTGTTTTGGGGCCACTAGATATATGAATTTTTGCGTGATACTGTTGAAAGGGGACCATAGCAAGCACCTAGGGTCAGATAATTTTAGACATCTTTTTCCATTTTTAAATCAAGGGTGGGAGTCGATGGAAGGTGGTAGAATAAATCGTATCGTTCAATTAGAGTGATCATCATCGAACAATCTCACAAAAAAAACTATTCAACATTTCGTTATTATTACGAGTACTGATTTTTTAATTTACAGTCGATATATAAATTAATTTATTCTCAATAAATATAAAGTCGATAGTACTGATTTTTTTAGTTTATAGTCGATATATAAATTAATGGGATTAGATTTTTCAACAGTAAATCAATTCTCATTTTCAACCACACATTCTTCAATAAAATAATATTTTCCATCACATCAATAATTTTTTCTTCTTTTTCAACCACATATTGCTCATCATATCACTAGTCAAAATCAATTCTTTCCCCAAAAATCTTTCACAAACAAGCTCATAAAGTTGATAAAAATTTAAAATCTAATTTATTATTATTATTTTTTTCAGTCACATTTTCAGGCAGAGTATATGTGAAAGGAGGAATCAGATTCACGTGTATGGGAGAGTATGTCGGTCATAAAGCGACACATGGTCCGAATCGGGTGGGGCCCGTAGACATAAAAACGGATCTTTACAACAAATCCCCCGCAATTATTTTTGTGTTGTCCTGTGTTTTTACCTCGTCGGGTGGGGCCCGTCGACACAAAACTTGAGGCCCACCTCCGAATGGGTTGGGTTGGTTTCATTTAATTTATAATTAAATTATGAACGATGGATATGAATTAGGCGTGGCTGTAGTTGGACTAATCATAAGTCCATAATCCATTCTTGCTTTGGAATTAATGTGATGTGATAATGTGGGCCGACTAATGAAAAGGATTCCCTCTAGAAGACATCATGATAGTACTCGGAAGGATTTTCATCATAATAGTTATAAGACTCGATCGAGTCACTAAACCAATCACTATAAAACTCGATTGGATTCATCTGTCTTTGATTGATTTGATCGAGAATCAATTGCGTGACCTTCGTTTTAGACTATTACATTAGAAGTATTTATCTCAATTGTGAACCCATTCACTTAAAAGTATTAGGTTTCATGATGTGATTAGAAGTATTTGGTTGGTTCAATTGTTCATCGTTTTAGACCGTTGAACTAAAAATCTCTTAATGATTTAGCTGTGAATCCATCCATTTAAAGCATTTGGTTAAACAGTTTAACTCGTTAGTTCTTCAAACTTGTTTGACACATAATTATGATCGGTCAAATTTAATATATACTACGTATTTAATGTGATCCACAAGTACTGTCACTTATTCATTTCTATCTATTTATAATTTTAACCAATTATATTGACCAGCACACGTCCATCGTTTTAGACCATTGAATCGAAAGGTTCTAATTGGTTTGATCATCAAGCGATTTATAATAGTTCTTGGCCTATCGCCTAATTCATCAGTTCTCTAATTTGAGTATAAATTTAAGTTAATGTTAATAATCAGTTTTAATCAATTATTTATTAAGATTAATAACTTTTATCAACTTTTCAATTCTGAAAATAAAATATCTCAAAATTTACAATTGAGTAAATATCATCTATGTGGACCATTTTTTTGGAAATGAAATATTTTCCCCTCATCCATGATCTATCCGCGTTTATTAGCCCTTGTTTGATTTTTATTTTTTTTTTCAAAATATATTTTTCCCTCACTTCTTTTCAATCACTCATTATTCAATAAAATAATATTACACGCAATCCAATTTTTTTCTTCATTTATAATTACACATTTTCCATCAATCTACTATTTTAAAATGTATTCTACACAAAAATTGGGATTCAATCCCGCCTTAAATTTTATGCCCTGTTTGGTACACATTATTTTTTTCATTCTCATTCTTCTAGTCATTTTCAACCACACATTCTTTAATAAAATAATATTTTCTATCACATCAATAACTTTTTTTTCATTTTTAATCACACATTCTCCATCAATCTACTATTCAATAATACATTCTTTCAAATGAATGTGTCACAAACACACTTATCTTCTCAACAAACACATTGATAGACTGTACAAGATTTAAACAGTTTCAACAAGTCACTCCCCACGAATTTCTCTCGACCCACTGATTTTAATGACTCTTGAAGAGGACATTTCACAAAATTTAGCAGATGGAATCTGGACCACCCCATACCCCAGTTGCCTATTTTCTCACCCAATCTTACAACAACATCATCAAACGCCATTATTATATGTAGTCTAATCCTTGTATTCTATCGTCCCATTTTGACAATGACTATAGATAAAGCTGATGGCCCCACTAGACAATGTACTTGGTACGCGCCCTAATTTAAAGCCACACCACATGACACCATCGTCTCAACCACTCCCAACTCTTAGCCACCGCCTCACCGCCCGTAGGTTACAATAACATAATTGATAACAATAAATACTATTTAGCACTAGATCTCCCATCAAAGTGTCAATATGTGATAAATCCTAATAATAAATTAATCACAAATTATTGTATTTAGTTGAACCCGTAATTTAATAACACAAATAATGCGACATGAGCCGTTGTTAAACACTCATCGTGATAAATAGTATTGCTCAATTTATAAATATGTCGAAGCTTAGATCTATTTCCGTCTTTTCATTGCTTCTATCGGAAGAAGTTGTAGTGGCTACATATAACAGAGTCGATATTGCTATTCTCACTAGAGTGAATTGATTTTGAGGGCATTTTGTCGATTTCTTACGACTCTCACTTCCAACCCAAATAAATGTCTACGTGCCTTTTACACCCATTCATTCTGAATAACACTTGCCCTTTGTCTTATCGTGACTACCAGCATGGTATTAGTTGAAACTTCTTCCAATGCCTAAAAACCACATGTATCTTTCTCAATTTCATTAACAATTACCACTTAGATTTCAACGTCAACGGTAACAAAGAGATATTTCAACTAATGAATATATGATTTTAATTTTCTAGCCTTTACTTTTCTTGAAATGCTCAAACCGGATAATCATGACAAAAGGCCAAAGTATCTAAAGGACACCGTCTAATATACGCAATGGTGGCCAGAAAATACGGTATAGAATGACTGAATTTATTTTAATACTCCGTACTTTTGTCCTCTTTTTTGGCGGGACTCTACAGAACAACCACGTCTCGTGTCGTCACACACTTTCTCCATTGCCGTGCCCATCGGTGCAATGCAGTCTGGCACAACACACGAGGTTGGTGCTTGCTTATTGGGAAAATGAATGCCTTCCTTTTTCGCACCTTCTGCGCAAAAACAGCGACATTTGCGCGAGTCCTACGTGTCAGTCTTCACACTGCACGTGTCACTATCACTGCATCGTTGACTCCACACGGATCCCCACCACGCTCGTCCTCGTCTCATCTTCCCCAACGCAAATGCTAACGTGCGCCAGTTTCCATGGATTCACAACTTCACGTTCAATTAAGCTACTTGTTGATTAAACGAAGTGATAACGAACAATAATTTATACCATTTCGATGATTTTTTCCTATTTATGAAGAAGGATCAACAGAAATTCAAGAAGACAAGTTTACATTAAGACTAGCGGTTTTGGAGGAGTTACAGACGGGGCAAGTATGGACGGATGATCCGCAAACAGTACATAGGCAGAGATGTCTGCAAGGCAAAAGCAACACAGATGACTCCTCTTTTCCACAGTTCCTGCACAATCTGTTCCTGCTGCTATTACTGTAACTACAGCTCTTCCAACCTTTATTGTCCCCAATATTGCCAGAACAAATGCAACCGTCGTTGCAATCGATGCCGTGCGCATTGGTTTCTGTGCACTCTGCTAGTGCTTGCCGCTCGATTTCTTCGATATTGCTGCCGCAGCAAGATTGAGCGTCGTCGGTTAATTCCTTGTGCTGGTTTTGATCGACTTGGACTTGAGCGAGAACTTGCTCGAGATTGCATCTCAGAGTGTTTGCTGTGGCTTCATTTGTTTGTGCTAAATCTCTCCATATCTGATTCTCTACGCACAGGGACTTCACTCTCTCTTCCAACGCCCAGTTTAATCTCCCAATTTTGTCGATTTCATCTTCTTTTGCCTTCAGCTTCTTCATTATGTTGCCTTCAACAGCTGCCACGATTCTACGCGAATATCTCTTTCGTCTCTCTTCTATTTCCATCCTTACTTTCTCAGTCTGTTACAAATGATCGACTTAATTGCTAATTCATATAAAACGAATTACAATTAAAAAACAGATCAAAATATCAAAAATCTTACCTGTTGAGCAATGAAGCGATCGATTTCTAACTGTTGCTGTTGGATCTGAAACGAAATATCTTCGCCGAGAAAAGTGAAAGAACCGCAACGGTAATTTGCATTCTGATTCTGAACAACGCCAGGGAATGAAGAAAGCAAAGGATTCATTGCATCACTTGATCGCTTTCTCGATACAGCATAACTGAGATCACTCTCGGATTTCATCGGAGCTGTCTTCGCCGGCATAGAATCCGTAGTAGCCGAATTGTACATCGGCACAATATTCTCCGTTGCCGTCGTTGTCCCGGATAGTGGCGTCACCACTCCGTATCCTAATGGAGTTCCATACATATTTACATTGCCAATGCCTTCCATACTATTCATCGCTGTTTCTCTGCATTCATTCGAAAACATAAACACATATCCAGTTCTGAAAATTTCAAATCAATCAAGGACTCAACAGATTAAAAAAAATGAAAATCAATGATGAAAACACATACCTATTGCTGAGAATCTGTGGAGGAAATAGATTGTGATGGCGAGCTTCAACAGCCATTAGAACGTACGTAATTTATTGGATCTCTTTCTTGAATCACACTATATGCGTGCGGTGTGTATCTGTATCTCTCTGTGTATATGTTTGTCTCTTTTGTTTGCCTATTTCGGTTTGTGGACAGAGAGGGTTATGAAAGGTGAATGAAAGGCGGAGAAAAGAACAATAAGAGGAGAGATAATGAACAAAAGGCCATGCAATGCAGATAGGTGTGGCAAATTTTGAACAGTGTTTGGATTGGCTTTATGGATAGAGAGAGAAAAAACAAGTTAGTAAAAAGAGGTTCATTTTGCACTATATAAAGGGCGTAAGAAAGTATGTGAAATTTGTTTGTTTGGTTTGTTCGGTGGGGTTAGTTACCATAAAGGCCCTTATTCTTGAGTTACTTTCAAAAACTGCAAGGGGCTATTTTGGTATTTTACAAGACTTTCTTTCATCTTTCCATAGTAGTAAAATAACATCTGATCTTTTCATGGAAAATTGCAGTAGTTGGCCTCAATCCATTGCTCAAATTGCAAGTTAGTTTTTTTTCTTTTTTCTTTTTTATATATTTAAAAGAAAATAAGTTAGATAGCCTATATGAGTAGACACCCCCACTTAAAATTTGTAGGTACCCATCAAGTTGAAAAATAAAATCTAATTTTATAAAGTCGAACGTATGAAAGTCAAAAGATGTACTCTTCTAATATGTTGATGATCGACTTGTTTTCTTTGACGAAATTTGAAGGCCTACAATGCAAATTTTCCATTTTTGTTACATAGATTGGAGACCATTAATCTTACTATACCTATATTAGAGTTTTGGCATTTTCGTGGTTAGGCAGTAGGCTGCTTTAGTTGACGGAACAGATGATTGTTTATTGCCAACTAAAAGGGCAAAAACATAATTTCCTGATTGTGTCGATGTGACTATTGGTACACTATCTCATATTCTAAGGAAGATACGGAAATTTTTTATACATGGATTTTCACTAAATAATTTTTAAATATACACAGATCTATACCAAGGGTTCCTTCCTTGCAAGTATGGGAATGTGCGGTCAAGTGCAAGGAAGATTCGAGGTTAGCTTGGCCGACGTGGCAGTTGAGGTTGCAATTTCCTGTGTTTCATAAATGAGAAACGCTCGCCTCTTCCCAAACGACACGGGTTTGACTCTGCCTCACATATTTGAAACTCGAAAGCAAAATAATACCTAAAATTTGCCATGAATGTCTAATTAATAATTCAAGTTTTTAAAATATTTAATATTTATCGCATTTAGGTCTATTTAATTTAATAATTGTAGTTTTGGTAAACTTATGAATCAAAACTCAACGCTTAGTTTTAAAGTGGAAGAAAAATTGTACTAGAGAATAATTTTATTCGCAATGAAGACTATCGATATTCTTCATACGTAGTTTATACGCAGCGGTCTGTAATTTGATGTACAAGTCAATAAAAGATTATCACATCAATACACCAAATTATAAATTGTCACGTATATATCATGTAAGAAGACTATCGATAGTTTTCACTACGAGAGAGGTTCGAGGTTTTAGCTTTAATAATTAATATTGTGGGTACGTATAAATTTTTGTTAAATCATAATAAAAATTGATGAAACGCATGAATTCTATAAAATGTGTAATTTAAAATGAGCTTTAAAAAAATAAAATTTAAATTACACATTTTATGGTGTGTACATGCTTTTCTATGTTTTAAACACCATAAATATATCTCATAGAAAAGCATGTACGCACCATAGTTTCGTGTGTTTGTACATCAATTTTAAAGCATCTAGAAAATAGCTCACGGCCCTTGAACTGCGCTGTCACGCTTCGGTATTATCATCTTAGGTTAAAGAAACAAAATTGCTCGTCCCATTTTGAATTTATACGATTCGATAAAAATAAATAGACAATTCTTTATTCGTTCTTAATTTTGTCAAATCGTGTTCAGTTCATGACTTTAAGATAAAAAAGAAAAAGATAAAAGGCGAATATTTTATAAAAATACTGTTTAAGTGATTCTTTCTAGGTAATTTTCAGTGTAATTACTAATATCTGACAGTGCAGTTTTGTAGATTTTTATGTAAAAATAGACAATTTAGCTGCAATTAAGGAGACAAATAGAACAGACTGTGAATTAGTATCCAAAACAAATCAATTATTTTAATAATTAAGCTTCCATCATAGGATTAGTTCGAGGAGGAGGCATGGGTTGGTTTTGCATTATTAATCAACTTGTTATAAAGTAATAATTAAATATTAATCATTAAAATCCCCAAACCCACCCATATTTTTTTAACTTATGTAATACGTAATACAATATTTAGGTACAGGATATTATGGATCATGAGTCAGGCCTTAGATGAATCTTGTGACTTTGCTTTGGCATCCAAAGCTTTTAACTTTTGCCAAATTTCCATGTTTGGGCAAGTATTTATTCTAAGCTTGTCCTTATTGAATTGATTTACAGCAAGAATGCTAAAAGCCAGCTCTCCCTCATTCTTGTTTTCGTACCTCTAAGGGTCCGTTTGATTGCAAGAATGGAATTTGGGTGGAAAGAAGATAAATTATGTGGGAATTGAATTTCCTAGAACTTGTTTTACTCAGAATTGTCAATTTATTGTGTCTGATTTGTATAATTTTTCACGTGGAAAATATTAAAAATTTGGATATTTTGGTGTTCGTTTAACTTTATTTTCCATGAAAATTGTCCATTAAAGGGATATAATTTGTTTTCATTGCAAAATAAATAAAAACTGCCTAGAAAACCAATTCCCACGAAAGTGGTGGGAATTGATTTACCTCAAAAAGCAAGAAAATGTGGCAAACCAATTAATTACCTGAAAAATGTTTCCTATCAAACACTCTAAAAAGTGGAAAATGACAGTTTTCCATGGATCAAACAGGGCCTAAGAGTCATTCTACAAGGAAAATGATTTCTTTAGCGGGTCTAGTACGTTAGCTATTTAGCACGCTTGATCCTATTTGCTGATTTTTATACCTCTAATATGATGCTACAAAGTTACAAAATATGTTACTCCTATTTTCGCATAACTTTATTTCCTTATCCGAAAATAGTATAATTGAAAAAACATACCACATGATTTTTCTTTTCTCAATCGAAATTCCAAGAATTTGGGACCCAATTTGGTCCATTTCACTTGGTAAAAAATGATGAAACTGTAATCCCTAATCCACTAGTTAGATGAAAAGGTAGAATCAAGGACGTGTGTGGATTCCCCATTAAGTGTACATTGATCTTTTATTAAATTCTATTATTGTTCCCATCAACCCAATCCAACTATATAGACTACAAGTTCCCTTTATCCATCTCAAATGTCTAAAAAGCACGAAAGTAAAGTAAAATAAGCTAAAAAGCGTGAGAAAAAAGTAGAGTAGTGGGTCACAAGTCACACTGCACATTGCATTGGATGAGAAAAGATTAGACTTTGGAGTTAATGCGTGTTGTTGGGATCAAATTTGAGAATGCATGCTTGTGCTTCCCCTCTTTTAAAGGCAATTGACTTGGTGGGTTTTTCTCTTTTTCTTTCCCTTTTTTTTTTTTTTTTAAACTTAAAGTTGCATTGCCACTTCTACATGTGATGAGCACGCTTTATCGCCCACAACTGGAGAGAGTGTCAGATTCAAAGTTTGGTTTTATATCTTGGTGGAGGAGATGAATGAGATTCCCAAGAAAATGTGGAGTGGTTTGGGTATCTAATTGACAACTTAAGAATTTTTTATTTTATATTTGTCACCAAATATTTTGGGGGAATTTGCATTGGAGAGCCTCGAACTTTTGCATTATTGAGTACTTCAATCTTTGATTTCGCGGTGCTTGAAATTGTACTTACGAAATGTCATTCGACATGTTTGGTAAGAGTGTTACATGACAAGTACATGAAATATTGTTTTGTGGGTAAAAATTGGTGAAGGATAAGGAAAAAGAGGAGAAAAAAAGAATTGAATAAAATAACAGTCGATCATCTTATTCACCCTAATTTCTCTCGATGTTGCCCGTCCCCTATCTCCCATAGTCGTCCTTGCTTCTCCCATCACATTAACCGTCTTTTGGTTCCACTTTGCCCCATGCAAGCTATTGTATATATATATACACACACTGAATTTCTATTTAACCGATCTAATATCATCTTTTAGACTTGTACATTCAATAACTATTTTCTTTTAACTCCCAACTTCACACGAGTCCAAACATTTTTTGTTTGTAAAATTTGATTTTTGCACCAATTTCTTACTATCATTCATAGTTTCATATACACATAAACGAATAAAACACCGTAAAATGATAAATATTTTAGTTTTTATTTTCTAATTGCAATGCACAATTGATGTGATATAATTTTTATCAAAACGAATAAAAGAAAAATAGATGCCTCTTTTGCTTTATTAAATTTCAAGAAAGTAACCGGACAACTTACCGTGGCATTTTGTGGGGTCATGCAGTTGGCTATCATTATTTCTTGTATTGGAAACATACCTTACTTAAAAGATATTAACTTTTTATTAAATAAAAAGAACATTTAAAGCCTTGCCAGAATTTGACCGTTAGGTTTGGAGAGTGTGTGTGCAGGGAATCTACGGCCTTGATGGGCTTTTTGGCCCACTTCACTCAAAGCCATTTCAACAGGTCCAAATTAAGTGTGCTAGATTAAGGGCCTCATGACATTGGGCCGGACTGTTCCGAGTTAGTCCAGCGAGAATTGAGGGCACCTTAAATGGACCCATAAAAATTCCCCTACAAGAGTACCCAACCCCTAATTTTTTTTTTTTTGAAGAAATTACACCAAACCAGAATTTAAAAGATTCAATTTCAAAAATCAGATTAAAAGTTTCAACTTTCAAAAATCAGATATTTTATTTTTAAATTAATTATACGATATTCATCCAAACCCTAATCTAATCAGTTTTCCAATTTTTTTTTTTCTCTCTCTCTCTCCGTCCCCGTCCCCGTCCCCGTCACTCTCATCCCCTCTCCTCTCTTCTTCCTTCTTGCT